ACAAGATTTTTAAAAAAATGTTATATTTCGATATGAAATGGTTAATTAGGTCCCGAAAATGTTCATCCCGGTCCCGATCCCAATCCCGTCGGGATCGGGATCGGGATCCCGAACAATACCTCAGTGACAGTGAAACCGGGATCCCGAACAATACCTCAGTGACAGTGAAACCGGGATCCCGATCTCGATCCCGACGAGATTGGGACCGGGTTCGGGAAAAAAATAGGGATCGGGATAATCCCGCCGGACCCTATCCTCTAGATTTTTATTGCTTCTTTCAGCATGACCAGGAAAACTTCATCTTCCGGAAAAGAAAACGCATTGTGAAATATAACAGAAAAACTTTGACAGAAAGGGACCGAATTTTGAGGAGGGAGCCCTCCTCCTAATCGGTAACTCTGATTGTGGGTGCAGGTCTAGCTAGCAACATGACTTTAACATACACACACACACTCGCATTGTTTTTTCTTATATAAGCAGAATTTTTTTCTAAATAATTCTATTAAATATACCTCACAGTTTTACTAATGTTTAGCCTTGAGCTATTCAGCCTCGAGATCTCCATAAAGCTTCTCATTTTTTAAGCAATAACTGACATCAGACGGATGTTTCAATAGACAGACTTGTCAACGAGTCAAAATTTAGATAGACTGAATGTTTTGTTCAACCACATGTCAACTGTAGAGCACACCGACCGGGTTGTCTTTGAGTTGGTAAGAAACAAACAGGGGTTCGATCGTTCTCTTTTAAAAATTTTCCTATTGATAAGAGCTCTAATTCACTCTTCTAGCTGAAAAATCATTACTATCAGATCTGCTCTCCATCAGAAATTTGAATAGATTGGTTGCTTTCATAACTATCTACGGTGAAAAATAGCTTTTCATTCTCAGACTATTATAAATACTAAAATTGTTTTTTAAGAACCACAAATCACCGCGTCAAACAATTCACGATATTCCGACAAGAAACTCAATTGTGAGGGACGTGCTTGTGCCAGATGTGGCCTTTGCCGTGATTGGTATTGGTATCCTGATAGTGGGAGGAAGCATTATATAAAGCGTAGTGATGCAAGATGTATTGGTGATGACTATGTTGATGCTTCTGTTGATACTTATGAAGGTATGCCTGGTGATTTCTATTGTCATCTGAGTTACGTTGAGGATGATCAATATGATGATCTTTATCTTGATCTTGATGGCATGGATATTGATGGTGTTTTTCATACTGGTCTTGCTGTTGATGAATATGGTCACCTGTGTGAATGTCGTACTAATCAATACTAGATTGGAGAAGCCGAACTTTCTGTGATTTGGTTCAGAACAGTAACATGCTTTGGAACGGTTGATTGTCTTAGAGAAAATAAAAGTTTTAAGAGTGTTTAGCTCTCAAACCATCGATCAAAGACGTTCGGTAAACTTACCTGTTTCTCCCTACGCATCAATGGGTGTCCTGTACTTAATAAGTTTTAGAGAGATTGCTTGAGGGTGGGTGTAAATGTGTTTGAGCAAACCCAGGTGAGCAAACAAATCGGTGGGACGGGCAACATGTCTAGTCTGAAACGTCAAGATCACCCGTCATGTCTAGTCCGTGACGAGGTGAGGGTTAATCAATCGCTCGAAAACAGAGTGACCCTATCTCTTGAACAAAAGGCAAGACCAATCTGCTATTTCCAACTTTTGCTTTTTAGCAACCGATTTTTTGTCAAATAATTCACTGAATAAGTTTTGTGCTTAGGTTTAAATAATCAAAGAAATGAGAGTTTAATTTCGCTGACGCGTTTCGTGTTATTTATTTAAATAGAAAACACTCTATCTGTATCTTTCTTTTAAAATTATACAGATACATATATATAGAGTTATTATGCGTAAGCTACAACTGGTCTTTCCCCCTTTTCTGTATTAGTGTTATCACCATGAAAATTTTTTTTCATACTTTGTTATGTACTTTCTTCCATGATCAGTAATAATATGACAGAGCAAACAAACTGACAAGGGTATGATTAATTAATTTCAAATGACGCTCTTTTTTTCTTTTCTAATACAGAATTTGCCAAACTTTTACATTTTTCTTCGAAATGAAGTATCATATAGAAGAATGTTCTCGATAAAGTAAAACATTCAATTTTCCTCTAAACCCAGTTCTCCAAATTTTTGAAGAATATTCGAGAACCATTCTTTACATCAGCCACTTTAACCTTAGAGACGGAGTTTAACACTTGTTCAATTTCTGAATTTACTTTTTCTCCTTCATTTGCATTTAAAGAATTAGATATTAAGTGATCGAAGAATGAACGAAACTGTCAATATTTCAAACATTAAAGTATATAAAGAAATTGTGGACTTCATTGTTTTATGATTATCTGGATGAATCCCTTCGTCACTGGTGCAAAACATGCCTCAAAGTTACCTCTTTCACAAGGCGAAAGTCGGAGCTCTCTAGCTAGCTTCTATTAAAAGTTATTAAAAAACATCACAGTACTTTCTATTTTGGATTCTAATGGATAGTAAATTGAGTTAAAGGAATTTGGAAAAGCATTAGTTCAAATTAGTTTAAAATTTTCAAATTAATTTAAACTAATTCGAAATTCGAAATCCGTTTCACTTAATTTAATATGAGACTTTGTGTGCTGTGGTCACGAGAGAAATTATTGTTTTCACGACAAAAATCAATTAAAATTAGTATCAGTGTTTTTTTTCTCTTTTAAATTAATTTGAATTAAATTTTATGATTTGTTTTTTATATTTATCCAAAAATTTAAATTGATTTTTGAACGCAAAAAGGTTTTTTAAATTAATTTGAACGACTTTCCTTTTAAATTTGTTCAAATACTTTTAAATCTTGCAATTAGTTTAAATTAATTTGAAAGTATTTAAAAGTTCCGATGGAGTGGATCGTGGAATAACAATACTGATCCTTAAATCCTTCATCTGACACTTTCTATATATGTCAAAACAAGTAAATGCACATGTCTATTTGATTCGTCATAGTCGATAATCTCTGATGAATTTGTCACAGTTTTTTCTTGTGTCGCTGATATGAAGAGAATAGTTGCGGATGGTATCAATAATTATTTTGCAGTTCTTTTTTTTCTGTATACATTTAAATTGAATCTTTGAGAGAGATCGTTGGCTTTTGAACCATTGTATCCACAATAATTGGGTGGATATTTCAATTCATCGTTAACAATAACAAATTTTTCATTTCGAATGGAACAATATTTTCCTATTGGATAATCACCTAAAGCGCATCCATTTGTTTCGATGGAGTTTGCATCTAACAGTTGTTCAGCTCTATTGATAAAATCCAAATAACGATTAAGATGAATTTCATCTGTTATAGAAATATTGTACGATTGTTACGGATCATTATCCTCTACAAGATGAGAGCAGTCAACTCGTTTACTTGAGAGAACTTTGTCTGTAGAAGAATCATAATTACATTCCATTGTTGTTTTATTTTCAGTCAATATTAAGTATTGAAATATGTAAACGGTAATTTCTCTTCCTTTTATTTTTTCTGGCCAACTATTTTCATAAACGGAGTGTACGTTAAATACTTTTTATAAAATTTCCCTCTTCTCTCCTCATTTACCCAGTTTTTGTTCATCATATTCCGCTCTCTCAATCTAGATGTACTTAGAGTATGATTCATTCTTTAAAATTGTCGGGATATGCGGCTTTTAAACCATAGAGTAATTCCATTTGAAAATATAATTGTGAGAGTAAATCAAATGCTTGAGGTAAATGTTGTTTGTGAATTGAAAAATGAATTTTCCAGTCAGTTAGTAAATAGTTGCATGATGCTTGAGCTACACAGTATTTTCTACCAATCATAGTGAATAATCTGACAAAACCCCGTTTTGTCATTTATTTATTATTATTCACTATCCAGTGGATCAGTGGATTTCAAAGATGGAGCAAGTGCATATGGAGAAGTGGCTTTGTTGCTTCATTATTCATTAAAAAGTAAAGTTATATGCTGTGAAAATCACTTTTGATAACTGAGCCAGAATTAAGTCCGCAACCAATACTAATAGGAGTAGTTTATGTACAACCAGGAACATTGCCTCCTTTTAAATTTTTTTCAACAGTATATAAATAAAAAATTTTATATTTTTGAAGATTGTAATGGAAAACATACGCAATGGCAGTGTAAAGTGAATAATATAAGTGGAAATCACCTCTTAAAATATTAGATACAGGTTGTGTGCTAATGGCACTAAGAAAATGTGAAGCACTAATAGGTTTTAGTCTAGCTAATGAGGATACCGGTTGGAATATGGAAGTATTAGATGAAAGTAAGGTGCCGCTAATTCAAAATTCGAGCACCAATTTATTTTTGACTTATTTATACAGCATTCGGTTTCGTTCATCAAGCTGAACAAGAAAATCGGGGTTTTAACCTTTATAATCGAAATTTTAAGTGAAAAAAATTAAAAAACTTTGAAGACCTTAAAATTCAAAAAAAATGTTATACTAAGAAAAACTTCGAAAGCCTTTTTCTGTTTCACTTGAAGCGTCACCAGTACTTTTTCCTACTTCAGCGTCTGAAAATGCCTCTAGAACTGTTATTACGCTGATTGAAGAAGAATCTTGGCAATTATTTATAGAAAATCAATCGATTTTCTGAAAACTTGAAAATCAACATTTTCTATAAAGTTGGAAAATCAGTGAGGATTTTCTATAAATCTGAAAATCCTCAGGGATATTATAGAACTCTAGATAACTTGATGAGCTCTATTGGAACATACCAAAGAAAATGGAAGAATGTTTTGCTCAAAGTTTAAATTTCGGTTACCCTACATGTTGTTATCGTCGTTGTTCGCTTCGTTAAGACCAGCCCTACAAAAAAATATTTTATCGGCACTGGTTGTGCACGGGGGCGCACCGTTACCGAATAATTTTTTTTGGGCCCCGTTGCGTATCGGTGCCGGAAAGAACGTAAAAATGTCGCACCGGTGCGTACCAGTGCCAAAAAGAATGTAAACATTTCGCACAAGTGCCGAAGTTTTGTTTTCAATCACAATTTTGTTTTGTCAATTTCTGTCTATATTAACGCTACAGTATATTCGAATGTCTTTCTGACTTCATCTTTTCCTTCTCATAAGAGAAGTGTCGAGGCAATGCCGCATAGTTTTGGCATGTCGATGTGGTACTGATCAATGCCGCACTCTAATACAAAATTCAGTATAAGCAACCATAATAAAGAACTAATTAAACTGATTAAATAAATTATCAGTGCGGCACTGGTGCGCACGGGTGCCAGTCGGCAACGATCAAGGAAAAACTGCAGTCCTATCTCGGATTGGACTAACGGTTCTAGGCCAAATTGAGATCAAACATTTCTTGAAACTAAACTCACACTGAACTAGCCCAAAGAGATATGAAATAGTGACTTCATGTTAAATTCGTACTCGTAACGAGATGAAAAAACGCTTACGTGCACTAGTATTGGCTGTTTGAACTCGTACGAGTTTAAAATCATGTTACGAGTTGAAAACTGTGTTATGCTGTAATATAGTATACGGGAGGCTGGGAGGCTGTTTTGAACTCGTACGAGTTTAAAATCATGTTACGAGTTGAAAACTATGTTATGCTGTAATATGGTATAGGGGTGGCTGGGGAGCCTGGGGAGGCTGTTTTGAACTCGTACGAGTTTAAAATGATGTTATGTTGTAATATAGTATAGGGGAGGCTGCGGAGGCTGTTTTGAACTCGTACGACTTTAAAAACATGTTAGGAGTTGAAAAGTATTTTACGGGTTCAAAACTGTGTTATGTTGTAGTATAGCATAGGGCAGGGTGTTTTGAATTCCTGCGAGTTTAAAAGGTTGTTACGAGTTCAAATGAGTGTTATGTTCTCGCGCGTGTAATATGTGAACGTTTGGTTTAACGTTTTGATGTGGGAAAAAGATCATTTAGTGTCTGGGCTCGTAAGCGTTTTCCGAAAATTTGTATATTGGGTTTATATGATTTCCCGTCCTCCGTTTTTACTAAAGCTTTGGAAACATGATCTTCTGTTCCCGAAACATGTATACGGTTAGCACGGACTAGCAGTAGTGGCTCCTGGGCTCTGATATGGGTTTTATGGTATTCTTTGGCTTTTGATAAATAATGTGATATTTGGTATGATGGCAGGAGATTGTATCGACGGATGTGTGTAAATTTTTCTTAGGAAAAAAATGCTTTGACCTAAAGGGACGCTGCGTTTGGAAAGTCTTCCTGTTGAGAAGAAGACTGGATGGACCCGCCTTACCATCTGGGCTGATGCATCACTACGTGATT